AAAGCCCCTCGGAGTGTATGTGTAAATGACATCATTCATTCAGTAGGTGCTGAATCTACGAAGCCCTGTACTGCACAGAGCAGTGGCTTTGGCTTCGTGTGTAATAGTAACCCTTGAAGGTTTTTTTTTCTTTAGTAAGAATTTTCTTTGTAAAAATGTGTTACCTTGAGAAACACAGAGAGTGTTTTCATTTCTCTTCCATGCATTTACCGTGAGTGGCCCCACCCCAGAGTGTAGCTGACTTTCCTTCTGAAGAGCAGCAAAACGGTTTGTCTTTAAAGAACCAGAATGATATGACATCACCCTGCACTTAAACGGACATAAAGAGGAACATGATGTGAAGGAGAGAAGTTATTTATCATTATATGAAGGAGAATTTCTAGTCACTCTTCCCTCTCACACACTGACATCACATACCCATTGTTCTGAAACTTGCTTGCCTCCCGTATCTTCTAATTACATCTGTTTGTTGACGTGGCCCGTACCTTGATCAGAAAATTTCATGTGCCAAATCATGATCTGCTACAGACGTAGAGTCACAAGCCTGGGATTCCTGGGGAAATATCTGGCCTAGGAGTGAGTGTTACGTTTTTTCTACAGGTTTACAGTATATAGGTGTGGCTGTGAGTAGCCATTTTATAAATTCATTGACTGAATTCTTAGACTAACTAGTGTCGTATTGTATTAAGTACTTTTTTAGCCAACAAATAATTGAGCACAGATGCCATCACGCTGGGCTGGAATTCCTGAAGCATGGTCCCTGGCCAACGAGGGTCGGTCAGTGCCACCCGGGAGCTGGGTGAAGGCGCAGCCTCTCGGCACCCCTCCTCATCCTGAATCAGAAACTCTGGGGCCCAGGGGCAGGACCCAGAAGCCTGTTTGAACAACCCCTAAGGGCGTGATTTGACTCATGTTAAAGTTTGAAAATCTCTGAGCTGGATTATTTGGCATTTAAATAAAAAAGGGACCCTACATGGAATAGTTCCTATACTCCCTGTTCCAGATAAGACCTGTTCTTTAGCCATAATAACAAGGAACCAGGATAACAGGTTTAAAGCTGTCCGAGCCCTGCAGTGGCAGCTTCCTCTGGTCAGTGCATGTGCTTCTGGAGGCCGGTCACAGGCTCGCCCCAGCGACTGAGCTTCCTTCGCTCAAGGTCGCTTAACCTTTAACCCCACTGCTGAGAGCCCACCACCAGGCCTGAGTCCCACACTTCCCACTTTTTACTTTAATTTTTCATTTTAGTACATAAAATGTATCTTTATTCTTTTTTAAAAATGGCGGCAGAGTATTTCACTGTATAGATGTAACATTTTTAATTAGCCCGACTACTAGGCATTTAGGCTGTTTCCATTTTTTTTATTGCAATGTATAACATTCAATGTGTCATTTCACACACTGTGCAAATAAATTCCTAGATCTGGAATTGTGAGTCAGATGTCATGCACATTTTCGTAGATCTGTGCAAGCTGCCCTCCAAGGTTGTACCAATTTAAGCTTCCTTGAGCAATGTATGAGGCAAGGATCTGTCCACACCCTCACCCCACCCCATTCAAACTTCTGGAATTTTGCCATTCTGATCTGTGCGCCCATGCAGTATTAATTTACATTTATTTATGTGCAAAGTTGAGCCCCTTTTCAAATGCTTATGAACCATTTGGGTTTCTTCTTCCATGAACTGTATGTGTAGGTATTAATTCTAATTGAAAGTGCCCCTCTGTGTATTCATTCATAGTATAAATGCCTCCTATGTACTGGCTCTATGTCGGATGCTCTAGAAGCTGCTGTGAGCCAAGGGCCGAACTTGCGAGACCTGGCTCCTGCCTTCCCGGGATGTGTGATCTTGGGGAGGAGGATTTTGGTATGAACACTGGATATTTATGGAATTCCATACCTGTATGCTTGTGCACCTATATATGTAATTTACATATGGGAAAATACTTGGATCTCTACTAATAACAGAGGTGATCTTTGAGTGGAAAGGACATTTTTCCTTTGTGCTTTTCTATATTTTTTCCAAGGTTTTTGTAATCTACATACCAATCTACAGCAAATTGAAATTTGGTGATTCCCCTTTTGTACATTTCCTGGATTTTCAAGGTTTTTTGGGGGAGGGGTGGAAGGAAAACACATGAGTTTTGCATTTAGGAAAGAGAAATATGTGATATGAAAGCATCCAATACACACACATGAACACATGTATTTTAGATATTAAAAAAACACAGGAAAGAATGTCTATGGCAATGGTGAGTTTGAAGAGGAAGATGTAGAAACCATTTTCAGACCCCCAACTGCTTGGCCAGTGTTCTAGAACTTCCTGAACCAAATTCCAGTGCAGACTTCCACTCACCAGAAAAATTGAGGGCTTGTTTCTGCTCAGCTGGACAACCTCAAGTGCACCCAACAAACAGGAACTGAGCAGTTACTGGCCCTGGAAATCTGGCCCCAGGGCGCAGGGCTGGGAATTTCCCTTTCCAGATGCCAGCTTTAGGCTCGGCGTCCAAGGGCGACCCCTGTTGGTGGACGTTAAGCATGCCCACTATTCGTGAGCCTCCCGGGGACGCCTCAGGTTTTCTGCTCGGGATGGTCCCGCCGGTGGCCCCCTTGCCCCTTACTCCAGCTGCTTCCTGCTTCTTACATCCCCATGCTCACCCTCTCCTCAGGCTTACTGGCTGCTCTCCTGGGACAACCAGGTCTGGAGGCCTGGGGGACAGAGCTGCACTATGGCCAACCTTTTAAACGTCACACGGGCTGGCTGCTCAGGGGCCCCCTGGCTGGCTGGTCGGCAGGTGGAGTGTGGCGACTCTTGCTCTAAGGGGCAGACTTGGATTCTGCCAGCTGACTGCCAGCGCCAGACGCGGGCTGCCTATGGCAGCAGCGAGCATAGGGGGGCAGAAACACCACACAGGGATGCGGCTGAGGGGGCTGCATGCCGCCTGAGGAAGGCGGGCTGGGGGGCAAGTGCACGTGGGGAAGGGCAGGCTTTCTGGGTGGGGTCACACCTTTGAAGAGCATTTCCTCTCTGTCTGGAGACGGTCTGTTGGGCGATTCTGACAAGGACCAGAAAACCAGCACAGCCTTCCTCCATCAGCGCCTGTATCGGTATTCAAGACCTTGGGTTGAGGGATGCATGGGTAGTAATCCCACCAGAGGAATGTTGTTAACATTCATCAAAACAGGAATGCCCCAGGCACACCCCGTCCATCACAGAGTGCTGAGTGGACATAACGGATGGGGCTCTGGCTGAAGAATCTGGCTTTGGACACGTGGAGCCTGTAATTCATCAGCTTGCCTGTACCCCTGGGTGTTGGTCTGTGATAAAACTGGACACCAGAGGAATGCGCTGGGTGTTTCTGTGCTTTGAGAAAACGTGACTAAGCACTTCTCAGACTGTCGCCAGATAGGTCCTCCTTTAAGGTTTCATCTCTCAGATGCCGCTGGAGCCGAGCCGGCCTCCCGCCCGACAACTCATGCCCCACAGGCCCCAGATCTGCTCTCTACTGATGGGAGAGGGGGAAATCGCTCCCGGTTCAGGCTGACCATTCTCCGTTTGGGCCAGATGCTCAGGATCCTCCAAGCGTTTGTGGGTGCTGGGGGCTGGGGTCCTGAGAAAGGAAAGGAGCCAGGAATTATGGAATGTGGGGAGGGGGGACTTGAGTGGTTTCCATCTAAGTCTGCTGGGAAGAAAAGGTGGGGAGAGAGGCCTGTCGCAGGCCCCAGCTCCTAACCCCTCAAGGAGGCGAGGAAGGCCTGGGAATCCAGGGAACTGACCCCAGTGAGGGTCAATGCCAGCTGTCTGGGAGAGGCCTAGAGAGGAAGTACGGGGCTTGCCTAGTTTAGCCAGGTAATCAAGACTTCTGTCCCAGCCCAGACAGCATGGACGCACACTCTGCTAGCTTCGGACTCTAGCTTAGCCCCAAAGCCTGGATGTGGGCTGGGGGAGCTGGTATGTCCTGTCTAGAAGGGGTGCTGCCCAGGAGTGCCTGTTCACAGGGCACTGGCTGGAAGGAAGAGAAAGGTGTATTCCCGCAGGACCCCCGTTAACCAGGGGAGGGGGCTGAGCTGTAAGCTCCAGGGCAGAGGAAGGGGTGGGAGCTGGTATGGAAGCCCTCGTTGTACCAACAGACAGAGTCCCAGAGAGGGGGAGGAGGTGGCCCTGGGTCACACAGAAAGTTAGGGGCAGAGTTGAGAGTGGAGTCTGGGTGCCCTGGGAGACTGGTTCTGGGCTCTTTCCACTGGCCCTGTTTCCTCTGGGAGGGGAACACCTAGAGTTGTCCCACATGCTTTGACAATTGCGGACCCTGGCCGGCCCGGCTGGGGGTACAGAGCCCCCGCCGCAGGGAAGGATTCTGACTTCCTGAGCGCCCACGCTGGGCCAGGTCCCTGCACTTCGGTGCCCTGCCCGGTTTAAACCGCCCTACGCCCGGAGAGGACGCATCCCAGTGCCCATCCTCTCGCCGTGGAGCCTGTCCCCACAGAGCTTAGGGCTGGTCCGCGGGCACATAACCGGTGCAGTGGGGGGGCTCGGGTCGCAAACCCAGGTCCCTTTGACGGAGCGGCTGCTCGGTCCCCCTCCCAGGACCTCCTTCTACGACCCCTCTTTTATAAGTTTAAAGAGAAGATCCCTACACTTAGCAGCCCACCCTCGTCTCGCAGGGGCGCAGGGCGGTTTTCCTCCCCGGGGGGCGGAAGCCGCTGGACGCCAGTGGGTTCGTGCCCCGCGTCCCTCCGGCCCCAACGTGCCCCGGGCGCCCTCCGCAGCCGCGGGGCTGAGTCCCGGGCTCCGGCGCCCCCGCCTGGCGGCTCCGGCGCGGCCCCCGAGCGCCCGGCTCCGTGTGCGCCTCCCGGCGCGGCCGCCAGAGCCCGCCCGGGGCCGCCGGGGCGCGGGGCGCGGGGGGCGGGCCGGGGCGCGGGGGGCGGGGGGCGGGCCGGGGCGGGGCCTGCGGCGCGGCCGGGCCGCCTCTATAAAAGCCGCGGCGGGCTGGCGGCTGGAGCGCGCGGGCAGAGCGCGGCGTGGGGCACCGGAGCCGGCGGCGGGCGCGCGGACAGCGGGGCTGAGCGCGACCCTTTCCCCGAGCCAGCGGCCACCCGCGGGCGGACGTCCGGTGTCCACGCCGGCTCTGCGCTCCTGGTCGCCAGGTGCGGCGGCGTCTCGCCGAGGTAAGGGGGCCGCGGGCGCTGCGCCTCGGAGGGGAGGGCAGGACGGGGTCCGGGGCCTCCGCCCTTCGCAGGGTAAACGCCGCCGTCCCGGGCTCTGTCTGTCCTCTCTGGGTTGTGCGGTCCGCCTCTGCCGGTCTGTCCACGTCGGGCTGTGGGCACAGCGCCTGTCGTTGGCCCCCGTGAGGTTTCCCCGAGATAGTGGGGTCTTTGGCGGGCGGCAGGTGTTGGGGCGCCGGGGTCCGGAGCGCGTCCTGCCCTGCCGAGGTTCCGCCCGGGTCAGAACGGCTCGGGCAGCTCGCCCAGCACAGGGTCAGGCCGAGGAGTCGGGCGGGCAGGGGCCGACTCGCGCTGCGCACCAGTCAGTGGGCGTGAGCCCGGCAGCAGGTCGGCGCCCCTCTGCTCGGGCGCGACGCGGGGGGCTTCCTTCTGGACGCCCCTCTGCCTCCCTGCCCGCGCACTCCGGGCCAGGGCTGGGCACCCGGCGCGAGCTGGCCCAGGGCCTGGGGGCGGCCACTGCATATCAGATGGCACGAGCGCCCCTGCTGATGTTCCGACTGCGAGTCCAAGCCTCACCACTGGAAGGGAGTTTGGTGGTCCCTGGCAAGGGACGTCGGCTCCACGAAGGGTCAACTTAGGTTGCGAGGAAAGGCAAGGACCTGGCTGAGCTCAAGCCAGGGCTGTGGCTAGGTCTCCTGCCCTGGGAACGAGGGCCAGAGACCGTCTGGACGGGCGCCGGCGGGACCCTGTACTCTTGGGAAAGACGCTCCGTGCGCCCGAGGTCCCCAACCGCAGACTCGCTCCCAGCGACCGCCGCCATCCGCGAGGGTCCAACGCTACTCCGTCCCCGGCGCGCCGCCAGCTGCCGGATTTGAATCCTGAGTCCCGCTCCGTGCAGCCAGCGCTGCCCACAGGTGAGAATTCCCCTTTTAAACCAATCTTTTGATGTGTGAGCCAGTGCCTGGCTGCAGCCCATCCCGGAGATGGCGAGCCTGGGAGCGCGTCTCTCCATTCCGCGGTCTGGAGAGAGCCCTGGCGCGCCCGAGGGCGGGGAGCCGGAGGCTCTGTGTGCCCAGGCGACGCGCCACCATGGACAGCTCCCAGCCGCTTCCTCCACGCCGGGTCTGTGGCCGTGGGTCTCCCGGGAAGTCGCGCGCTCTCCTCCCAAGCTCAGGGCATTGGAGCGCACGACGGGAGGGGAAGAACGTCTAGTAAGCGAGAGCCGTCTGTGTCCTGTGCCGAGGAGACAGGAGCCACTCAGAAAGATAAGGGACCTTGGCTTTGTGGCCGGGTCCTAGACTAGCCTGCAGCTGAGCTCTGTGCAGGAATGGTGTCATGGGGATACAGCCCTGGCTTTTCTGTAGCCCCAGGGGCCCCTCAGGTGTTGTAAATGTGCAACACCTGAGCAACCCACTGAGGTGGTGAGATAATGCCAGACCTAGTTATGGACCCTGCTTAAACTGCTTTCTGTGCAAGGCATAGGGTCATGTTCCGTTTTACTACATTCTTTAGTAAGTATGGTTTGGAGAGGATGTATCAGTTTCACAGTTACAGCAGCAGAATGGATAAGAATCAAAGAGAACCCCTTTACAGAGAATATGTTTGCATGTATTTGCAATCGTAATCATTTCCTGGAAGGCGGGTAACAACTCTTAAAGAAGGTTTCAAAGGTTCCTCTTGAGCCACCTAGATTCAGGTTGGTTGCCTGGAAACAGTGGCGAGAATCTTAGGGTTAATCTGTGCAAATTGAGCATCCCTCTCCTCTGGGGAGAAATGCCGCTGGAGGGGGCTTTTCTTTGTCGTCATCCCCACCTACACAGACGTGTGCATCCTCCTTCACTGTAAGAAATTCAGAAGGTCTGTTTCTGTTCGTGACTGATGAAAGTCTGTGGAGAATAAGTACAACCAAGCTTTTGTTTTTTTCTTTCTCTTTTTTGCTGAGATAACATGTGTGACTTTGTGAAGTCACGTAAGCTCTGTGCCCACCTCCTCGTCTGTAAGCCAGGGAGAACACAGTCTACTTTGCAGAGCTGCTGCTGAGAATTAGGGGCACAGCGTAAAACACCACAGCCCAGGGCTGAGCACAGAGGGAGCTCTTGCAGTGGTAGTGATTGCAACTGTATTTTAAGGACAGTTGTGCATTTCTTTTGAATGATGCTCACCAGCTCTCCGCTCTCTTCTAACCCAGTGCATGTTTGATAGGAACTCCATCTCCACTTTATTTTCACGTTCAAGAACTTGCTGGTGGAACTGAAGAAAGTGCTAAAGTTGATCAAAATGCCAAAAAAAGAAAAAAATCCTATTCAGATAAATGGAAGAATTTTGTGTGAGACACATGGGCCACCTGCTTCTCCCTCCTGGGCCACCTGGAGGAAAGACCAAGTAAGTTATGTTCAAATTACTATGGCAGTCCTCTGGCTTCCATGGTCAGTCCTTTCTGATCCTTCTGTCGAAAGCAGGCAGGATCTTCCTAGGGGCCTCCTTGTCTTTCTGGGGGTGAAGTTCTCCTGGGTGTTGATGGGCATTGGTGTCTGTAGCCCTATTGCCAGGTTCCCGCAGGACGAGGTGAGGGGTCAACTGCCGTGGGGCAGTGCGCCTTCTCCAGGACACCCCCAAGCGGCCATTCGCATGCGGGAAGCACATCCCTTCATGACAGAGCCTTGCTGGGGCGGGAGGTGCTGACCCATACACCCACCTTTCCTGGAGCACAAGCCCCTTCTTTTGGGGTTCCGGCTGGTAGAAATCATTAATACAGGACACACCATAGAAGTCTGGATAATGGAGTTACCATGGGCCCAGTCTTACAGTTAGTTTTTCCCCCAAAGTGTGTGAGTGTGTGTGTTTATCTGCCAGTTTCAGTTTCTAGGGCTCTCAGATTTTCCACCTCTTTTTATCCTTGGTAGATACCTTAGCTTCCTCCGCCTGATAGGAGCCTAAGGAAGCAGTCCCCAGTTGCCGGGGGCCTGTCTGTGACTCCCATCTACCCGGTGACATGAATGGAGCAGGAAGACATGGGCCCTGGCTGACCATGAAGTTCTGACTGTCTGCTCTGGACCCCCATGAAGGTTCCGGTTTCCAGCTTACCCGGCTTTCTGGTAGGAAAACTGCCAAAACTCAGAGCACATCGAGTGCAGGGCCAATGAGGGGAGGAAGGGCGTGAGAGGTGGGAAGGGCCCCTTCCTGGGTCCTGGGGGCATTCTGTTCACTGCAGCAGCGTCCCTCCGAGTCACTGGGACACACCAATCGGATGACAAGGGAGGCCTGTAGTGGGGAAGGCTGTGGGGCTGAGGGGGGAATCCAGTTACTCTCCACCTCCTTTAAAGCTGGCCACTTCAGGGACCCCTTTGCAGCACCTGCTGTGGTGTCTTCAGAGCAGCGCAATCTGGTAGAATGCATGCATTTTGCATTTGCAGTTGTAGCTCAAAAGAGACATGCAAGTGTGTGTGTACTGGGTTCCTAAAAGGAAAAAGTCACGTTTACAGGTTGTACCCACAAGGTCCCAGACCTATGAAGAGTCCGGGCTGCATCTCTCTTTGCACGTGATGTCAGATACCCAGATGTCTGACTGGCGCAGCGACCGCCTCCTTTTGATTGGTAGTCGCCGTTCCGTGACGGCAGCTCAGTGCCCTCTGAGCAAGGAGCAGGGAGGGACCGCATTCTGGCCGCCTCGTATCTGGTTAGGTTAGTAGGAGGCAGGCGTGCTGCGGGTGTGGGGGACGGAGTTCCTTTCTGTTCCGCGGGCTCTTCAGCTGGGCCCTGAGCACCCTTTTCCCAGAGGCTGGCCAGAGGGGAACACTGAGCCGGGCAGCTCTGTGAGGCCATCAGGGCAACCCTTACGCGGATCTGCACCTCCGTGCCCGGCTCACGCCCTGCAGGGCCATCCCGGCCTCTGCCCCGGTCTGGTCCTGTTCCTCTTCCTCTGCTCTGGTGCCAGGCTTTGTTCAGACTCGGCTCTTTAGGAGGGAGGCTGCGTGCAGGGAAATGTCATCAAATATGCATTTGCTTTCTGCTTAGTCCCCGCGGTGCGGTGCCAGGAAACGCTCTTCCCCACCCGGAGGGACAGGAGCTGCCGCCTGCTGTGGGCCAGGGCCCCTGTCTGCCATCCGCCTGTCCCCCCTGTTCCCGCAGGGGCGGCCTGGGGCTCAGGCAGGCTGGCTCCCCAGCGCTCGCTCAGGGCAGGTCCCGTCCCTCTAGCTCCAGGCAGCCTGGCTCCTCGCATTGGGAAACTGCCCGGGCCGTGTCTTTAGATCTGCTGCAAGGGCAGCCACGTGGTAGGTTTAGATATAACTTGGGTTTAAAGTGCTTTGACCAGACAACAGCCTTTGAAAGCCCGTGTGTTTCTTTCAGCTGTCCACAGAAGAGCTTAGCCATTAGGCACTTCTGTTACGGGGACAGCATGGCGAGACGCTGGTCCTGCTGGCATGTGAAGTATCCAGGCCGGCCTACTGCCAGGCCTGTTTCTAGACACCCCAGTGGGGCAGGAGGGCTGCGGCAGCCCCAGGAGCCTGCTGTGCCCACGGGCCTTCTCTGGGGTCAGGGGTCGTGCAGTCCGCCTGAGGACAGTGCTCTCCCCACCCCAGACCTGAGTATGTGAATGAATCACAGGGGTGCTTGGTGAGCCACCAGTTCTCCTTGGGTGGATCCGGGTAGAGCCTGAATGGCTGCATTTCTAACAAGCTCCCAGGTGCCGCCTCTGGTTCACTGGCCGCATGAGCAGCCAGGCCCACGTCACTGTTGACTTTCTGGGATTCTAACTAATTTCACTCTTTTTGGTGTAATTCAAGTCAGTTTCCAATGTCTGAGTAGGTGGGGTCCATCTGGTCTGCATTCTCCTAGTGACCTTATAACAACCCTTCAAATTCTTGGAGATAATTATTGTCGCTCGGAGTCTTATCAGGAGACTAAATATCTTGAGCACCTTTGAGTCCCCCCCCTGCCCCTTTCCCTGTCATAATGAATTCTCCAAAGTTCTCTGGACCAAGTTACTTTTAAGTGCAAGACCA